TCAATATCAAGGGGTGTATCAAGTTTAGATGACAACATACAGAAACATTGGATAAAGATGGCATAATTTTTTAAGAAGAGGGGAAAAAAACTGGCTCAGGTATTTTCAAAAAGGCTGTTAATGGAAACTACTGGTAAAGAGACTAATGAGAAAACAAACGTCATTCAACTGGCCTTGCGAGAGGCAAACAACAACAGCGACGTAATCAATTTGATTCTCAGTAGCGCCTTGTAAGGATCACAACCTTGATGCTTTTCAGAAAATCAGGATTTTCCACATGGGATGCATACAAAGGCCAAAAAAACAGAGATTTACTAACGCTCTTGTTTTCCTCCAATTGCACTATTTAATAGCTCTAGCACTGTTGAATTAGCATAAAATCCGTGACGTAACTCTAACTCTAAGAGTGAGAAATGCAAAGAGCGCAAGCAGCTTGCAACGATCATTGCTTGAACTGGATGGTTCAAGCCACACTACGTCAAGGTCGATGACGTAAACTTCTCATCGATGCGAGGAACATTTTCCCTAGCGCCCCCGTCTTTTCCAACTGTGCCAAAGCCTCTGGTATTGAATTCACATCACAAGCTATTGCTCTATGCTTGCTTATTGGGCTATATGTGGGTGGAGAACAGCTACTAATGACGCAGCTGCAGAATCCAAAATCCATGCTCAACGCCCACTGGGTAATTTGGCACTTGTAATCGTATCCGAATGTCCCAATTATCTCCTTTTTTGGTGCAAGTGCTGCAAATTTAGCCGGCTTGTATTGTGGGATTGCATATCTTTGGCATTTGGATTTATTACGCAAAATTATTGCAATTATGTAAGTTCCACTTTGAAGAGCTGTCACTTCAACCAAACTCACATCTTTCGCTAGTTGGTCCTTCCTTTATAGGATACTGTCAGGTGGACGGCACTTTGTATCTCAGATGGACCAAGTACAGGAGACTGAGAGCCAAAAAGAATGATTTGAGGTATCTCAGATGGTCCATATACAGAAGGAGTGCCAAAAAATAATTTTGGAGTCATCTACATTGGTTTGTAATGACTCATGTCGCAAAATTTCGACATAGGAAAACTAGGCTGCCAAATAGCTGAAGCCGACACCAATTTTATTTATAATTCAAGGTTTTCGGCGGCTCAAAAAATTGTAGACGCAGACGTGGAGTTGCTAATAATTCAGCTTGTTTGCATAAGATCACAGTATACCTAGTTACTTAGTTTCAAGATTTCTGAAAATTTTCTTGGTTTTAAAAGACTGAAGCAGTTTTTCGAAGAAGAGCACTGACAATACAGAGCAATTTTGGCAGAACTTCGATGATTTTTAGGGTATCCGACAATAATGTATCGAACGTTTGATCGCTAATAACTCTCTTGTCCAGACAGCTTGCACAAATCTTTAGGCACCATTCTATAAGGCTAAGTTCAGCTTACATGTGCAATTGAGAATGGACTAGTGATTTCCGTTCATTACTATAGGATTACGGTAAGAATCTTCGAGAGGCTTTTAAACCAATAAAAACGTATACCGCTCCAAAAAGTTGCGCGAAAGAGCTGGGGAACTATGCTAACCCATACATGCTTTTCGTTCCACGATAGTCACGAGTTCGAAAATGTGAGAGGAGTACCGTGACAGCGGCTTTTTCAATAACCGTCAAAAATCAGAAAGAAAACCTGAAATGCTCTAACATTTACAAAGTTCACTCAAATTAGTGAATAGTTTTCGAACGTATCGGAATTTTTCTTGCACGACAACTGTTTGCAGTGACTGTGCGAGAAGTTCTTACGGTAATCCCACAGTAACAAAATGATAGCAACTCTTTATGTACTGTAAATCCGAGTTGAAGCCGGTCCTACCATATGCTGCTCAAAGATTCTCGTTAGCTGTTCAAGCAAGAGAGTTATTACAGATTGAACATGCGATTTTTTGGGACACTCTGTATAGAATGCCAGTACTTCTGAGTGCAAACAATATTTTCTGACTTCAATGGGTGTATTATCTAAGCTTGGATCTATTTATTCTTACTTCCATAACAAAAATGTACGGCACATAGAATTGAAGATTACAAGCAATGCCCAGATTTAAAAAAAACGGAACATGGAAATTTCTATGTGTATAATTCAAGATTACAAATGCAATTGGAAATTTCAAGAACATGTAGATGAACAGCGGCCATAGCGGTAAGAAGCTAAACGCAACCGTCTCGTTCTCTGTCTCCAGAATATGAACAGTTTATCTGGGTTTCATTGCTTGAAAACTTGTGAAAGGTGCGCCAAGCGACTCCTAAAAGTTTACAGAATCTCAGCATAAAAAACCCTAGAAGTTTACAGGATACCAACATAATAAACCCTGTAACTGTTGTAGATCAGCATTTACAACAACGTGAAGAATGCCTTTGAAAGTGCCTTTTGTAGCTTTCAAAAATATGTTCTGTGTAAAACAGCTGCCCTGAGACATTCAATTGATAAGCGATTTCACGTTTTTCCTTTTTTTGTTAAAGTTAGAAATATCTTCTCGAGCTGCCATTTTAAAATCAATGACTTTATCAGATGAAATAATGCTGCAGGCCAAACGAAAGAGAAAGAAAGATCTTTAGATAATTGCAAGCTTTCATAATAACGTTTCGATCGATTGAGGTAAACTGAATTCAGCTACGTCAAGGTAATTGGTGGACATATGGTAACTTTTCAGTGTCAGAAAATTCAGTGTTTTAGTTTGAGTTTGAGTTAGGAAGATTTGTTTAAGCAACTCTCCCCTAGAGACCCAAAACATTTAGCTCGATAGAATTACGAGCTACTGCAAAGGTGCATAAGAAAAAACATGCAAAGAGCTAAGATATTGCAAGAAGCTTTTGTCGAGAAAAGCTATTGAAAAAATGCGACTTGGAAGCCTTTACAGAAAACATGCATCAGTTCCGTATCAAGTGATATTTGCGCAGAAGATTATCTTTTTTTGAGCTGAGCTTAACTTCACACCTACTACTACCGTCGTGTAATATTCTTTCTCGATATTAGAGTGCTGAGGGCTTCGCAAAAGTGTATAGAGCATGTATGAATTATATAGAAACCGCTATTAGTTCACAATCCTCGCTATTCAGAGTGGGAAACGCTGAAATATAGATATCTGAAGACACAGATTTTTGGTAATTATTGGAAGCAGATAGACTTGGTTTGAAGTTTAGAAGCTATAAAGTTCTACTTCATAAAGTCACGACTTAAAAAAATCTCTACTGCTCTACGTTGAAGCGAACTTTTTGCGACATTCATAGGAGCTACATTCAAATCTGCGTGCTTTATAGTTATTTTTGACTTCTTTCATGGATGTATGAATTAACTAGATGCTGGATCTATCCAATTGAAGGCCTACGTTGTATATGAATGCGAGATTAGTAGTAATCGTTGCCATAATTCTCATGCTTGCTATAGCGATTTATGTAGTTCTCAAAATCAATCATTAATAAACTCATTCAGCAGCACATTCTGAGATTTTTGACCCATAACAACATTTCTGCAGTTGAGATAAAGTTCAAAATTCTGCTATGAACGCTGGGCAAACAAACAAATAGGCAGTTATTCTATCCTTTTAACGTACAATAAAATAAGATTCTGAGGGAGTAAGAATGATACTTCAACTGTTACAGCTAAACTAGTCTCTTTTTCGCAACGCATAGCTAATGAGTACGGGGTGAATTGAAAATGAGCTCATCACGTTGCCGCCCTCGAAAAGGGAATTATTCAGCTAGGATGTAATAAAATGTGTTGACGGGAGGAGAGCTCAATGTCTCGCTCTCAAGCTACAACATGCGCCAATTCTTCGCTGTTGAGCATAGAAATCTAAGAAACGCTTGGCATGAAAAGTGGATTTTCAAACGTATCCAGCCTTGTTGCCTAGGAAATTGAAGGGGTGTACATTGATAATAAGTAATTTCTTTAGTCACGCAACGAAGTCGGTGTCATGATAAATTATTTATACGTCCCTTTCTTAGAGTCCAACTCATTCTCATGCATTTTTGTTATATGATTTGTAGTATGATAATCAAAGGACAGGTGTAGTACCTTCCATTGATCGTTATTCTGATGCCTGTTTTAGAAACTTGAGCAAAAAATACTTTAAGCTAGTCAGATAGGCAATTTGATTGCCTATAAATAGTTGCATTGCTTCTGGCATCCATGCTCTGCCATACCTTTCTACTCAACTGTGCGATTTCGCACATCAACTTGAACTTTATCAAATCATGGCAAATTTCTCAAAATCCCCGCCAGCATACCCATGAAAACTTTATAGAAGACAAAAAATCATAACCTGAAATATACGCTTTCTTCTGGCTAACGGAATGGATGACCTCAATTTCCAACATGCTTTTTATGTATTTGAAAATTTTACGGAATGTGTTTAGAGATACCAATAGAACGAAATAACGTAGCTGGCATATTCTATATGCCACTTGCTGGTCAGGACCTTGAAAATGGAATTTCATTCGGATCATACATAAGACGAAAATCACGGTCCACATCATGCAAATAAAAATCACCATCATAATCTTGACAGCCTAATATTTTTTCAGCCACATTCGTCATTCCATCACAACAGTTAGCATATAGTGTCCTTACTAAGATAAAATATGTTTGCGATGGTAGTATCAAATGCTCTGAGATGTGTATGTACATTGAGTGGGTACAATTCCTTTTTATGTCAAGAAATTCATGTGGAAAGTAGTATGCAATCAACCCAAATGATGTGAGATGCCATGAAAAAAAAATGGATTGTTGAATCAGAAGAGGAAATGGGGACCCTCGAAATACAACATTGCTGGGACAAAGCATACTCTTAGATGGTGTCAGACGCCATAATAGTAGAATGGCATCGCTCTAAGAATAATGTTTCCGGCTATCAAACAACAAAAAATGCACTAAGGTAGGGGCAACTAATACCTTCAGAACAATGCAATGGACCCGACGTGCTCATATATCAGAACTCGAAAAAAAAACAATCATTCACATCACTCGATCGTAACTAGGACATGACAACTAAAAAAACATAAACAAACTACAAATTCAATCATCTACATCCTAGTATGCAGCTCTGTTTAACAGGTGCCTTGCTCACTTTGGTGGTCCTTAAAAAGCATCGTTGATGCTCTGGATAGAATGAAGTGACCCAGTGGGGCAGTAAGTAGTATAACGAGAACACATGCAGCTACCGCCTGAATATGTCTTCAAGAGGGTGGCAAAACCTTCAATTGTTCACATAAGCTTTTCAAAAGTCCTGAATAAATCTGTTTTACACCAACAGTTTATCATGTAGGAGTTTTTTATTTTCAAACGTCTTCATCTCCTCATTGCTAGAACTCAAGCAAAGAGGCTGGTATCCCCGGGAGGAAAGCGCGCTCTAATTGAACTACTCAAGCGACCAGCGCGATCAAGTGGGAAACCGTAAAATTCGAAAGCTTCGAAGATGACGTTTTTTAGCTATCCATTTGCCGCCTTGTGGAGGCCCTAGCCATGGTGTAAGGGAATGTAGTTCTCTTATGCTGATTAGTAGTTACAAACTCATCGAGTACTGCATTCATTTTTCACTTTTCTTATTTTTGTCTTTTTGAGTTCTTCAATACTTACCGTTTGCGCTTCTTGAAGATAAGGTTTATCGGTGACCAAAGCAACAATGCTGGGTGCAAGCGCGGCCTGCAGAGATAGATTTCGTTACTAAAATAGTGGTGACAGTAATTTTTCTTGAAAATTACTTGTACGGAAGCTTTTGGGAGGAGCGAAAGAGTAATGACGATTCGCTCCTTTGAATGGAATCCTGCACAAAGTGAACAAAGCATGCCAGACAAAAATCTGGACGCAGCTCCAATGCCTATAATTGCGCAACTAAGCCATACTGTAGTCCAAGTCATCTGAAATTACGATTATGTACGTCTTAAAACTCAACAGCGAAGTAAACTCACTCTCGAAAAGTCTAGTTTCATACCAATCAGTGAGAAAAGTAAAGGCATAAAGAATAGGTCCCACATAAGCGCAAAGGCTTTCTCTTCGTGTCGGCTCTGAAAATTGTACATTATCACTTTATCATTTCTTCTTTATCAGTCCAAACCTTTCCATTATTATTATTCTTCCATCGCACGCCAGCCATGAAGCATATTAATACCGTGGCCATGATACCGGCACTTTGAAAGCCAAGCACCTGACCTCCTAAACGAGAGTGGCATATTTCTTTCTGTGATTGCAATGATGATGTTGAGCATAGATCCTCGAGCCGAGATCATAGTGGTATTACAGCTTACATCAATGAATCCAATAAAAAACTGTAATAGGAATAGCAAAAAACGTGTACTGGTGTAAAGAGTTTCGGGGTTTTGCTAAATATTTTTAAGCAGTCAAAAACATTCAAAAAAATTTAATTTTTTCAAAGAAAGTTTTAAGGACTTGACAAAGGAATAACGTCAAAGGGAGTGCATCTAAAGATGTCCACTCAAACTGCAAGCGTTTTGGAACAATGACACATGGCATCTTAACCCAATCTACCAACAAGAGAAGGATAACCAACATAATCTGGCAAATCAAGAAGAGATGTATAGTAGACGAAACGAAAAAAAACGCTTGAAACGCTAATTCCAAATCAGGGTCCGGCACGAGATGGCATATTGGAAATTGAAAAACGATGCTCCCCTTGACATCGCAAAAAATTACGAGATACCCTTTGCAGTGTTTGTAGAAGCTCCTGTAATAATGCAACGAAAAGAAGTAAATTGAAATGAGAAAAAAATGAGTAAAGATGAAAAAGCGAGGTGCGAAAAGAGCTGTTATGAAGAGCCGTAACAAAGCCTAGGGGACGAAACTTGGGTGAAGATGAGTACTCATAGGTCGATCTTGATCAAAAGAATTGATTTATGAAAAAATCTGAAAATTTATGTGAGGAAGGAGGGGAATTGTGAATATGTTTGTCTTTGTCTGATCCCGCGCCACCTCAGGGTGCTCCCAGGTTGCGCGGGAGCAACCTAAAATCGAAAACCACTTACAACTTCTTCCATTCACATAATTTTTTCATAATTTCATACTATTTTGATCATCGCTGCCTATATACTTTGATGGCTCATTATTGTTTACTCATTTTCAAACCAATTTTTTATATTTTTGTGCGTAACGATTGTGTTTTGACACGTTGAAATTGTGTGCACACATGTTTGCGCACCTTTCATGTTTGTGTTAATTTACATGTAACTGATAGAATTTCGTTACACCTTCAAGCTCGGGCTCGCTAAGAGTTGGAGTTTCGTAAGCGGAAACTTTACGGGTTTACCTTTGCTTTCCCCTCAAAAAAGGACATTCAGCATGTGAAAGCGCCACCTGTGCTGAGCCCTGTTCCAAATCGCCTTTCTTTTCTGCGGAATAGCTCTCCAAAGGAAGTTATGAGCGTTAAAAAGTCTACGTTTGTAATGTTTAAAATGGCTTAGAATTAGATAAAAGCCCTAAAACAACATCTAGCGGACTTCCACTGGCTGTGTTCCATTCTTGTAGTTAGTACACTTGTTACAGAACTGATAACCCACTTTCGCGTGTTTTTGTAAAGCTTTCGCCAAATTTATTCCACTTGAGGCTTGACAAATTTGAACTTTCAAACGCTCATAAGTTCTTACGGAGAGTCGTTCCGCAGAAACCTAAAACAAATTGAATCAGAGTTTGAAGATGCTTCTAAAGATCTACATCTATTTTTGATTTAGCAGATCAAGTTGGTAACTTTCCCTAATAAGTCAGAAATTTACAGTTATCTAATTGCAGGCATTGTCTGCCAATCCAGCCTTTTATTAGTTGATTTATTACAACTTTCATGCATAATTGGAATCATAGATGTGGTGGTCAAACGGCATTGTTTTGATTAATTGATCAACAAAATTGTGTTAGATTTTTGGTTATCCTTTTCTAAATGACCAAGTACAGTTGCAGGTGGAATTTCTCAAAAATCGTGCTATGAAGTCCACAGGTGAATAATATACACAAGCAGAAAAGAAGTGAATGAATAGAGGTAACGAAGCCGAAGCAGATTGTGGTATGAAATTCGGGTAGATTTCTTAATGAAGCTATTTTTGTTGATACTATTGTGCTTCTTTCCGATTTGCTCCTGATTTTCTCAACTATGCTTTGCATTACTATTATTTCGAACAAAATTACGAGGCTGACTAGTCATGTAAATATTGAGATTTGACCTTGGCAATTAGACGTTGAATAAAATACTCAAAAAGGTAATGATAATCACCAACCGAGTACTGCAGCTGAGCAGATGAAAAGAAGCAGAAATACACGGCAAACTGCTCTGTGCTCCACGTTTTCGATCGGAAACCACCATATTAGCCAGCCTGAAAGTCATGCATGAAGTGATAAGTATAGCTTGGTATTGCTGATCTAAATAATTGTGATTCTTGCTTTTTTAAAATTTCAAAAATCCGTTGCTTCTTTTAGCATTAAAATCTCTTGATTTGACACATGGTAGAGAGAAGAAACCTTGCGCTTTCCAGATGTTCTTGAAACGAACTCTTTCGGGGGCATGTGGCAACGACAAACTTCAGAAGAGAAATACACGGAAAGTAATGGTCGTTAAAATTAATAGAACTTCGAGATTTGAATTCATTCTTTGGTCTTTTATGACCTAGTCTTCTTTATGAAATTAGTTGGTAGCGATTGAATGTCTCTACAAATAGTTACGAATTTCGATTTTTTAAATTCGACTTGTCGATATCGTTTTTAATTCCAAAGTACTACAAAATACTATCTTTGATTTACGTAGAGTACATTGTCCAAAGTGGATTAATCCGCTCAAGCATTTCCCTGTTTTTTAGTGCAGAATTGTGCATCAGCGTAATAAATACTAACTATCGTAATAAATGCAAAAATCAGTTTTTACTCTTGGCGCATTTAGACAATTTTGGCCGGTTATGCTTTTTGGGGAACAAATATACCACAAGCTATCTACTTACAATCACAGATAATTTCTCAAGCAGTCTCTCAGACCACAGGGACAAGTTAACATTAATCATTTTACCAAGATGTTTTGGGAAGTATACAGTAAGAGAACAAAAAGGAGTTTTGAGAAAGATGTGAATTCGTACTTTTGCAAACACAGCGAAATATCTCTTGCGTATGCATGAAAGCTTAATAGTGTACTTTTTGAGAACTCCCTTTCTTGCCACAATTCGTCCTGGCAAAATCAATTCCAAATCAAATCTAAAATGGTCCCTAAGTCCACTACTGTTGCAAGAATAATGCTATTATAACTGGACAAAACTCACATTATACAAGGTGTCCCAAAAAAATATGCCAACTGTTTTCAATTGCCAATGACTCTCTTGCCATGAAATCTTTCGAGAAGGTTTAGGTACCATTTTGTAGGACTGGTTTCAGCTTAGATTTACAGCATGGAGCAAATTTCTGATTCCTCTTCATTATTGCAGGACTACAGTAGGAACTCGCAGGATATGGCGCCAGTGCGGGATATGCCATTTCAAAAATCAAAAAAAATGGAAAACTATTTAGTAGGGTTTTCTTGCATGCTGGTTTCACTACATAACCTTGTGCGTTTACAAATATTAGAAATCGCTTGTTACGGTATATCTGGTATAGCTTTTACGAAAATGGCGTTACGGTGAAGTGCGAGTTGCACATTCAAAATCCGCGACTCTGTTTAACCTATAAAGAGTTTTTAGCTTCTTTAGCCCTTTCTTAGAAGATGGCTCCTAATGACGCAAATACTTCTCAATGTTCCTACCGTAATCCTAAGGTAATGGAAACAACGGTAATTCACTTCTTACTGTATATCTAAGCTGAAGGCCACCTCTACAAAATGATACTCAAAGCTCCTTGAAAGACTTCATGGCAAGAGAATTATCAACAGTCAAACAGTAAGCGCATTGTTGGGACACTGTTAATCAATTGGAGCCTTGAGCAATGAGAGAGAAAAATAAAATCTTGATAGAACAGTTTTCGCGACAAAATAGCAGGGAAAAATTGCCGACTTGCCTATGAATAATCCAGCGATTGTGCCAATGACTAATTGCAATGATGTCGCCACAATTATTTGCGTAAGGGAAGCTGGAATAACATTTTATTATTACAGTATGCCATTTAGTGCTATGTCAAAAGTTGAAAATCTTTCACTTGCTGCTGAAATCACTGTAGCTGTTATTGAGAATGCGGTGATACAAAAAATGTTGTCAAGCGCAGCCGAGGCCAGAACTAGTGTAGGGGTTCCCTGAAACAAGGTAGTAATATATACTGTATAACTATTCCTCGAGGTAGCTTACCTTTCTTGTATCTAATGCTTGTTTTTGCAAATCCAGCATGATAGGTACTGTAACGGCTGGGGATACCGCTGCCATTACGAAACTGTAATTTTGCCTGCTTTAAAGAAATTTATCAATAATGACCTAGCTTGCAAAACAATATTAGACAAAGCCAGTTTTAAAAAAGAGAATTTTTAACATAATTATCTTTGAAGGCAGCGTCCACACAATATTTAGGCTTTCGTGCTTTTGTCGTTCTTCAGCCTTTCGTAATCCTGATTACATTTATGAAGTGGGTCCGAAATATGCAAAAGTTCCAAAAAATCCGATTTCCGGGAACCTTCTGGTCTTTGGATGGGCGGAGCTTGATAGCACTCTCACGGGTTCCAGGTCATTATCTCCATTTAGAGACTAAGTTCAAGCTCCGGACCGATGCAGAAGCCCCTCTGGGGGCCTACTTTTAGGCTAGGTACTGATCGGGCTAGCATAGATTTTGCCTGGACGCTGCCATTGTCCTGCATGCGTAGCTAAGCCGTACCTACCCGCATAGCAATCCCATGTATACCGGCCACCCAAAAAGATAAACCGCAGCCGCAGCTATGGTACCGCTTTCCACAGCAGCCGTAATAAATCCTATCCTAAAGGTGATTCCCTGAAAATATATTACTGCAAGATGGTGTGGTTAGCAAGAAGGACTGACCAAAGCTCTTCTTAGGTAAAACCAGTCAAGGCCAATACCACCACGAATGAGTATGACAGTTAAGGCCAGTGCGCGTATGCACCATTCCCAACGAGCATTTATGTAGAAAACCTCTCTGAGGAAGCCAACATTGTTTACTATTATCCCAACAAGTAGACAGCCTAGAAGTTGAGAATGCTTGCGAATCATGAAGAAATCAAACTTTGTCGGTATTTGTTTGATATAGCTAACTGGGTTTTAGAAATTTTGTCACAGCACAGTCAACGAATTTGGAGGTGGAAGCAAGTTTTGTTCTATCCTGGCCGAACTTACCCGAGCTGACAATTACCCTATTTTCAGGTGTATCAGCCGCGGGGTGGTCCTAGCTTACATCGACCAGCCCGAACACATCAAAGGACCTCGCATCCAAAGGACCCTATAGTGTGCTGCGTATTGCGTGAAAGAATCGTGCGGCATAAAGATCGGTTTTCGAAACACAATGAGGCGGCTGAACAGCTCGTGGGCAAATTTGAAAAAGTGCGGCTTATACACCTGAAAATAGGGTAGCCCTCTATTTTGCACTTTCGGTACTTAAATCAATTTAATGGCTCTTAGGTTGGTCCATGTGTTCCGTACCAACGTTTTACAAATTATTTCCTTCAATTCTGACAAATCGTTCAACAGTAAGGCTGAGAGGGAGACAATCGCGTCCATTTCAATAATGCTTAAATTTACTTGAAGATCAACTGTTGGTAGCATTTAAGATACAGGTAGAGACAATCAAATTGTGTTTGAGAAATTTTGGTACGATTTTCAAATGAATTGCTCATAGGTAAACTAGAGATCAATGTTGGTATTATTGAAGAAGCAAGCACGACACACAAACCGAATTAAGAAATTTCGTATAATTCGATGAAGATGCTGGAATTTGAAATACAAAAAAAACATGAAAGACAGAACGGATTTCGATTTTATTTATGGTTCACGGCCGAATTTTTTTTACTGATTGAAAGCTCCTGGTAGTAGTAAATTTCGAGATTTCTTGTTCAGAATCTCGATCTCGATTACTTTCCCAATAAAAACCTCAATATATTGAAATAAAACATTTGCTCACATATATGTATTACGAGATTAGATATACTGAAATGCTTTATGGAAATTTTGGAGCCAGCGATAGCATACGAATCATCATTCATCTACTACAATACGTTCCTTGTGTAATCGTTCCTTGTGACTTACCTAGCAAGGGCGGTAAAAATAAATGGCGGAAGATTTTTCCAGCACATAACGAAGTGACCAGCAGAAAGAACAACGAGAAGGAAGAATTGATAAGCTCCGAAGAATCGTCAAAGGGTGCTGATGTATTCGTTGTTTGTACTATTGTTTGCGGAGGCGTATTAAAAGGATGCACTGCAAAAAAATCACTATTGTATAGTTTTGAATTGAACAACAAACTTACATATGTTTCTTCCGAATGCCGCAAGTGTAGTCAGATATAAAGAGAACAGAATGAAGAAGGATGTGATGAGAGAGTTGATCTCAAAAAATCTGTGTGAAAGTAGGGAGAGGATCGCGGAGGCTTACATGGACATTCTTCGCTGAGTCAATGATTTGCTGAACAGGCTCAGAATCCTTGATTCTAGCCATAATCTCAAACTTCAATATCAGCAACTCAGGATAATCTGAAAACCAAAATATCAAAAGTTATTGAGATGAGCTAAACTTCTTAACAAATTATTGTTTTTTGCGGCGCTTTCTAATAATCAACATAAGTTTCTTCAACTGAAAAATAAACGAGAGAAGACGCGCGCGAAAGAACTGGTTCTGATCACATCACGTCATGAGTTTACGGCATTTCTCCTGCAATGTCATATAAGCATTTGGAACTTGTTTACTAGCTGTGGAAGTTGCTTACAAAAGAACCATTGACCATATGTAGTTATTTACGAAATAGAAAAGTCAATATAGTAACTGCGTACTTGTGTGGTACAACTCAGAGTGAAATAACTAAGAGAACCATTGGAAACTTCTCACCCGAAGAATTAGGTGATACAGAGAATTTGATTTAGGACTGCCAGAGCCGGTTTGATACGTGAAAATGATAAGCACTGCGTTCTGTCTATTTTCATGTTTTATGTGTTTGTTGTAGAATGATGGGCACTGGGTTTGACATCGGGTTTTGGAATAAACTAAGTTCTTGCACATAGGTACCGCTTAGAGATAAGCCCGCCGAAACATAATGTGTAAATTCGAAGGTAGAGAGTTCTCGGCTAGAATAGATCAGTTGAAAACTTTTGAGAGAAGTTCTTTTAAAGAGTATCTGACGATGGAGAGCATCAGTACAAAAAGGGCTGAAGCGGAAACCTTTTCGAACAGCTGGTTAAACCAAAAAAAAAATCGTACGGAAAGTGAGACTTCGGCAATAATTTTTACACCATTGAAAGAAACTTCTTTAGAGCTTCGATTGATTTGGAAAAGGCCCAGGTGAGTTTCGTCAAAACTACAAAAGTTGGAATTAAACCCAAGCTTTCGAAAAGAAAGTGGACATATCCACACTATTCTATAGCCATCTATACTCAAGTAAATCTACTTTACCGTAATTTTTGTACAATATAGCTGTCTATAATATGTTGGGATGGACTGTCTGTATCATCTGTTTTCACATTCTATGTGCTTAATTCTGAAAGAGATTGAATGTGCCTTTTCAAGAAATCTGCTCAATTAACAAAAAAAATCAACACTCTCAAAGGATTCATATGCCTTGAAATTTTGAAAAACTGCAAGCTACGAAAACTTTCAAAAACGACACAAACGACACAAGTGATTTGTTGAAAATCGCTTTTGGGCAACTTTGTATTGGTAGTGTTTTTACCATCGCGCATATCAATTTGTGTTGTGCTACAATCTTATGACATCTTCGATCTCATTAATTACGAGATGTTCTTCGGTGTCGAATTCATTGTGACGATCGCCCTTGTCAATTTGCTTCGTCTTCATCTTCCTGTAATTTTGTAGCTTGAAAGATATTGTCCAGAAAAGGTTCCGCCGCTAATCAAGTGTTTGGAAAATTTCTAACCTAAAGTTCCATTTCATATTTTGATGCTCCTTTTGTATTGCTGCTCGTAAAATCTATGTAGAAATCATCAGTTCGGCGATAATTGATGTAGCTTTTCACGCCTCTTTCCTTGAGATACTTGTTACAAAGAGGAAAACATTTTTCTTGAGAAAAAAACTTCGTTCACCATTCACATAAGGACCCCTTTTTCTCGTTTCAAATTTATGTCTTGTTACGGTAAAAATGAGTCCATTGTGAAATACTTGCTTTGGAAAACGTGTCCAGTTTTGAAATTCTTCTCTCAAGAGATCCATTCCAAAATTTGTATTTTTTCTTCAGAAATTTAAAAGCATCTTGAGCACCTGCAAAATGATAGGTAGAGAGTTCTGCTACAAACGCACATTGAAACATTACTTTCAAAATCTCTCGAACTCAAAGATTTCAACATAAACTTGCTCAATCGCTTTTTTATGTACAAAAAGTGTGAACTTGGGACTTTTGAACGGAAATATTATTACATTTTCCGACAAGAAAGCAGAACAAATCAAATACGCATTTCTCCGCCTCCTTAGGGAATTGAGAGAATTGGTTATTCCCAGATTTTCTGGAATACTTCCAAGCGAAATTTTTTTCTCTGTTGATACAGGGTCTCTTTCAGCGAGCATACATAGCAGAAAGCGAGCTAGAATTCGCGGTCAAAGTATCTGAGGCCAAAATGTCCGAGACGAGTCACTTCTGGCGAAGTATGGCACAAAAGCATTGAGCCAGAATACTTTCGTAAGTAATTGAGTCGCATTGGTGAAACTATCTACTTGAGCTCTGTGATAATTTAGCATCCTCCACTCAAGCAAGCTCCTGCAAAGGTCATGTTGGAACCACTTTGATAAAATTATCACTTCGGTCGACAAAATAGAAACAGTAAATCACGCGCAATTTGCGTGTTATAGAGAGGTATTAGGTCTTTCCACAAGTTCATTTTTATTTCTGTCGCCGTTTTCTGTTGAAGCCGTTTTTTTTACGGCAAAGTATTGTATACTCCGCAAGCGCCAACTCTGCTCCACAAAACCTGCGTTCTATTTTCGAAGTAAACCTAGTGATCTTCGTTTTGTAACCGCTTGCGTCAAAGTTTCTTGTGTAGCAAAAAGTGGCGTATTCGACATCTGCATCTTCGGCCCCATATACGGCAATCACTAGAGGAATTTCCATTTGAAATTGTGATGAGTGATAAGGAGCGACTGTTTACCGGACTATGATGCACATAGAAGTGGATTTCTTGCCAAGGGAGACGCTACAGAGAAAGACAGAGCGTACTTTTACCGTAGTGTAGACGTTTTGCGTTTGGTAGGAATAAGGGAGTTTTCTAAGCAAAACTTTTTGCGAAAGCGTAAAATCGGTAGTCAGCGCTTGCATTCAACTTCTGTGCTACTTACAAGGGAAGTCCGATTAGTAGAAGTGGCCTTTTCGATTGAAAATATTATTTTGAAGAGCGTTAAACGCTGATTCCGAATCTGATTTTATTAGCTGCCGAGCGCCTCTGCATGCCGAGTTATAAATGTTTTTTGGAGCGAATAATGAACGCAGAATTCCAGTATAATTAACTATTACGGACTTTTCAGTGCCTAAATAGAGCAACATGTAGTATGAGTGTTTTGGACAGAAGGTATCTTTTGAAATGGAGTGCTCTGATAAGCAACAATGGACCATTTACGCAATTCTGAATTTTAATTACGCATCCAATTTTTCAACCCAAAGAACGCTTATAACTCGGCGTCCAGAGGCGCTCGGCAGATAACGAAGACAGATTCGGAATGAGCGTTTAAAGCTCTTCAAAATAGTATATGAACCTTTTGGAAAGGCCACTTCGACTAATCCGACCTCCCTTGTTAGATAAAGCTGCTTATCGCTCAAGGCCTGACAGTAGGACGGGAACATTCAGTTGCGAAACATCGCGTAAAACTCAAGCTGCAGCACTCGAAGACAGCAACTAGTAAGACCTCATTCAGGCGGTTTCTAGCATATTGGCTGGACATTCATTGTGTTAGCACATGAGTCTTGCTTGCTGCTAGCCACACCGACTACACATGCAAAGAAATATCTGTGGTATATGGACGAGATGCGAAAAGGGTGTCGAATCGCCATTTTCTGCCACTCAAAAAACTTTGCTTTGATAAGTCATAAACCAAAGATCATGTTTCAAAAATAAGGATCAGGTTTTGTAGAGCAAATTTGGCTCTCTTGAATGATACAGCTACTTTGCCGTAGACCAACTGCTTCACAAGAAAACGACGACAATAAAAACGCTACGAACTTGTGGAACCACCTAATAAATGAGGTGACCCTCATGTATCAAATTGGAATGCTAAAAACCTTTATTAATAAAACTTGAGCTTCCTGGATGGACAAGACGAAGAAATCAACAAAATCAACAAACTCTGGGTACGTTAGCATGACTCTTTTCTTCTCCCCATATGTCCCTTGTATGTGTAAGCAAGGTTCCAAAAATTCGCATCATTCTCTGAATAATTCAAGTTGCTTTGCTCCTGGTCCTTGTTCGAAACATATTCCTAGCGATACTGTGCAGTATTGCAATCGAGCTGCTGTAGCCGGAGCTTCGAGTAACGTTTATACCAAAACATCATAAAATTTTATCTTTGAGTTGCAAAGTTACAGCCCAGAACTATGTCGTGTATGTGTTGGGTTTTTTAAACTCATTTTTCTTTTGAGTACTTATTGGTATAACGTAATGATTGAAGATGATTGATATTCGTTAAGGATATTGCGTCAAAGTACATGCAGTCCCCCTGAATGGTGGGCACTTATTCAATCTCCTTATGTTTTACTCTTTGTTCTGCTTCGTACCATATGTTCATATCGGAAGAAACTTCACGAAATTTACTTTGAAGTTCATTATAGAGGATTGAGACAATAAAGACAACCCATCTTTCATCAATCAAAATGAAAGAAAACCACCTGCTTTTTTCTAGGTGGAGCAGAAGCATAACTGTGTACTACAGTAGAAATCTAGTACTTGGGCTTCTCCATCCGTTTTTACGATTACGGTCATCCCACTTATCAAAAATGCTATTTTCATGTCCCTCTCCGTAAGGCTTTATATGATTTCCGGTGTAACCATAGCCATTATTTATTCTGTTGCTGCCAAGAGGATAGATATCATTGTCAGAAAGTCCACCATTGTAGTTCCCACTCATGAAAAACTCTGAAAAAAGGCATTACAGTATCGTATTAGCGGCAAGTAACGACACATGCATACTGAAGTCTGGAAGAACGTTTTCTCCTTCAAGGACAGAAGAAATCCTCTTGATGATTTTTTTCTGCGACTTTGTGAGACCATTCAGCAGCAGTTTCAACTTCTTTTGCATATTCACAAACGAATCGCTCTATGAAGTATTGGTAAACAAAATTATTCTAACAACTACTCATACCTTATTTTCCACGATTTCTTCAAGAGCATCGTAGAAATTTCCTACAACTGCTGTCATGTTGTGTACTAGGTTAAAGAATTTGCTTCTTTCCTCATCAAAACGTCTTAGATATTCCGAATACTCCTCCTGGAAAACGCTTCACCTTCCCTACTCAAGATATCATAATTAAAGCATAGAACTACCGAAACGTTATTTTCCTCAGCCCATTCTCTCAATTTGGCCTCAATTTCTGAGACCGGCAGGGTCTTGCTCTTGAATAATTCGCACATGACTCGATCGCCAAGCTTGTAGTATCTTTTCCTCACCTCAGAAATTCCTGCGAATTCTTCATATTGATCACATGTGAGATTATCCGGAAATAGGGGATAGACGTAATTGGCTCTTTCATTGTCTCCGGATCTGTCCTTGTTGTTGTTACTTCCCTGTTGAGATGATAAACGAATCAAAGTTTAGCCAAGTAAGCTTCATTACGAGAACCAACTTCCTTATCAACTTTCTAACGCAGTTCATTTTTGATATTTGTGCCGAATATATGGTTTTAGTTCAGAGTGGCCAACATAGCCAAAGAGTCTCCAATGGGAAAGCTATTGAATATTAGGTTGGTGTTGCGTAATTCAAACAAAATTCAATGAATTTATTACGAAAATTGTGGAAAATTCGTGCTCTATCAAAGATATTCAAGCGTAACATTCTACAAGTTAGCCACAGAGAACGAAATTGTGGAAAAAACGTGATTTTTTTGAGCTAGCTAGCGGCTCTCCGCGATTTTCTAGCACCAAAAAAATATAAAATTTTTAGTCCCATTTTTAAAGCTTCATCTCCGGTGGCGAACTCATAGAATGTTACGCTTGACATCCTTTAAAGAGCGCAAACTTCTACTGTTTTTGGGATATTTGCTATTTGAATAGTTCGAAGTTTGAACTTTTGCACCAATCTAATACTATATGATGCGAAGTACTTAAAGGTACCTTACGTCAGCGAAATTTGCGATACTCTAGACAGAGAGTGGAAGACATGAACTTGTTTTTTGAGAAATGATTCTCTTCGAGAAACATTTTCGGTGGCATCTACTAGCATCTACTAGACCGCTATGGTGCGCGCAATTCTGCTGAATTTTTTTTTATTTTGGATCAAATTTTTTGCTTTGCTTATTTTTGTGTGCGGCACAACGTTCTGTTCTCCACCTTGCCACAATTCGATGAATCAGCACGTTCATCTTTTAGCTTCGTAATACTGCAAGAAGTCCTTTTTGAAAACAGTCAGTAGATGAGCTGAAGTCACTCAAGTCACTGCTTTCGTCCCAAAGACCTTCATATTTTTTCTTTAACTTACTGACGATAATTTAGGAGAGGACCTGGTGGTTTTTCAAAGATCTGGAAAGTCACTTTTTCTTATGAATGAAAAGGGCTCTTAACTTTAAATTTGCGTTTTGCTCTATTGGTCAACGAGTTTTTCGCCATGTTTGGAACGACAATAAAGCTTGACTCCAACTTACTGAATATGGATCGTACCAGCTGTTGGAACGTGCCCAAGCAATACATGCTATGAGCAGAAACAGCAAAAAATTCATCTGAAATCGCAAGTCATTGCATACTGCATATTAACAATTTGTTCAGTAAAGGAAAGCTTTATTTCGAACTAGCAACAGAATGGCAGTGCTTTTTGCTCACTAACATACATGCAATGGCAATTTATAGTTAGATTCTTTACTCAGATGTCCATGATTTGAGCTTCGTCATTTGATTGTCATAGTGCAAAGCTGAATTTGGAGATATGGCGCCAGAGTGCGAAATTTCATGGTAAATATGGAATAGATTCGCTGCAAAATTAGCAAGATCAGTTCCATAGAATGCTTGAGTAATTGAAAAATGATGACTTTTTGGCTTGTTCAACATAGTTTTTAGAAGCTTTTGGCGATGATATGCAGATCCCTTTGTTCCTGCGATATGACATAAATATTGTTCTATGTGATTGAATTAATTATAAGCTGTGTTCAAATTAAACCCATAGATTGCTTTGCAAGGGGATGCTTTCATTTTTTCTCCGAACTATAAATCTTCATTGTAAACTCTCCACTATACGAAGAATCGACCTCTTTAGTAAAATTAGAATACCTTTTACAAGTTATTAACCCTACTTCAAATTCAAATGAGTGATAAGAACCTCTTTTCCCATTTCTATTCCCCGATCACTCTTCCTAATACGGTTGAAACATCAGTAAAGCTTACACTGCGAGAGCATGCGTACTCATTTGTATTCCAAATGCCTAAACCGATTAGTACATCGGCTTACGTGACGAACAAATCACATCATACTTTTTGCTGAGTCAACTCAGAAGCAACCGTACAATACGAACAGGCTGGTGCAGTGAGAGAACTAAAAATCTATCGGTGAGGAATTGAGATAACCCATTGCGCTAATTCTGCCTGCTGAGACTTTTGTTCATTACCTTGCTCACAGTGGCGTACCGAGGGGGGGGCCCCCCCCCGAGAACGGGTCGCGAAATTTTTAAAAGTTGCTTACATGAGCTATAAAGTTGTGCAAATGACTTGTTCATTCTTGTAAATAATTAAAATATTTTTAAATAATTTTTAAAAATTCAAATCAGCCTTATAAAAAAATTTTTTGGGGGCGTGGCTGAGGCCACGCCCCCTTTTTCTGGATCTTCGGGGTTATAAGGCCGGAAAAACTTTTGAAACCATCCCTAAAATTTTTTCGGAATGCGTGGCTAACGCCACGCACCTTCATTAGAAAAAATTTTTGTCGCGCCCCCCCCCCCCCCCCCGAGCCGAAATCCTGGGTACGCCACTGCTTGCTCAGTATGTTTTTTGATCTAATCTGATTATTATAAAGAAAAATGAACCTACACTTTTTTACTATTAGAGAAAAATGTTTGTTCGCAGAAAGTTCTGATTAAACTCCGTTCTAATTTCCTTCAAAGTGGACAATTCCCAACAAAGAACAACGAACTCAAAATTAAAGCATACAATCGTGCCCCAGGGCAGATCCAAGTGTTCGCTACCGTAGTCTATTGAGATACGATAATCATACGATCCGATTACTCAACTCATAGGTCATATAGCGATATTTCTCATATAAATTTGCAAACATAATTCTTTTGGCCTTGACCTTTTTTCAGCACCATTCCTACTACCCATAGAAGTCAGCCCGGTCGCAAGTTCTTCAACTGTATTGTGTGACTTGGTATACTTGTGATTGTCTTTCTGTCTCTACTTTTATGCCGCACCTCGAGTGCATAGAATTGAATAAGCAAAGAAAAGAAATTTACGAAGATTATCACTATGAACTTTTTAGAGTAAACACCGAGAAAACAGAGCGCATAGGGACGACTTGCGTTGCGTTCCTATCTTACGATTATCGTCTTCGAACTTCATGTTGTCAATGAGAATTTTGTGTGTTCCGAACAAAAAAGTTAAGCGCATGAGTCTTCTAAATCAGTGAAAACTCGAAATATTATACATTTGTGAGTTTTGATTGCAGGCAAGATAAAAACCTTTGACTAACGTCGACACAAGACGAAGAAGTAGTCAAGATACATATTTTTTTAGATTTAATAGGATTAGAAGCATTCTAACGAACGTTAAGTTTTTTTCAAAACCGCACAAAGTTTGGTTTCAATGATATCTCACACAAAGTGTTTACACGGTGATTTGATACTCCAATACATTCCTTTCGTGGGTTTGGCTTATCTGGCTGAGTCGGCTGTAAAACTCAAAGTTTCGATGATCTTGAATGGTAGGCGAATGATACGAAAAGCTTTTAAATAGTCCCTGGTCTCCCATTTGTCTATCTATTTGTCTATCTAGTAAAACCTTGGAAGCTCTACATTTACTTCACAGTCCCTTTTCAAACCTGAATTAATAGGAGGGTTGCTCCTGCTGCGAATTTCTCTGTTTGTGCGCCGTGAATTAGTTTATGCAGCGGAGCAAAAAAAATCACAAACTGGAAAAGAGTATTGGGGGGGGGGGCTTGACGGCGTGCATTTTAATCATGACAAACAGTAGTCCATAGCACCATTTTGCACGAGATTAAAGTTCATCTGCAGTAATACAACATTATATCACTTGTTGAGTTTTAGAAAATCAGAGGCATACTGTGGTACGTCCCATAAAAGTCATCAGAGATAGAAAAGTTCGAGAGACGCCTAAAAAATCAATATGTTATAAAGATTATTTTCTGTACAACGTATAGAGGAAGCTTACGCACATGGCGAAATGGACATCTTCATTCTTTTTTGTGATTGAAACACAATAAAATTACACAGAACAAAATTACAATATTCTCAATGACTCCAAGAATACTTTAGTAAAATCACTAGGCAGAAACACTACTGTTTTACAAAAATTATGTAACCAGGTCAATACCCAAGTAAGGTAATAGTTCCATAGTAAAGAGCATTAGCACGACTAACCGCGAGGTCGTCGAAGCTTACAAGCACCAATATTGGTAAGTCGGAAAGGAATGTATACATATGATGAGCAATCGTAATACCACTGGTAATTAAACTTTTCCTGAATTCGTACGAAGTCCTAACGTCTTCAAAATCGCACATCCTCTTCGATGCGAGCAGTGCTGGTGTAGGACATGGTCGTGTTACCGTTGGTCCTTATCACGTTATTTCTGCCTGGTTTGCCCCCAAATTCCATGTCCTCTAAGGAGCTCTTGGCCTAAATTTTGTTATAAGTATAGCGATTTTTGGCGTAAAATTTAACGCACTATTCCGACTACTCTGCTGTTTTTGAGGAGTATCGGAGATGCTTTGAGCAGCAGATATTGTCCCAATGGAGCCGTCAGCAAGATGGCAAGAACACACGCAGTCACTGCCTGAAAAAACTCATTGTGTGGTCTGAATGAACATGAGTTTTGGTCATTCAAGTACGGTAAGTGTTTTCCAGAATGGGAATTGAAACATTAACGATCAAACAGCACAAAATTGCTCGCTGGAACGTTTTCCACTATTTTTCGTCATTTTGACAGCGGGAATGAAATCCACGGGAATCTAAGATTTTTGATACGAAATACACCTACGGATTGGACTGAAAATCCTTGCCAAATTGTAAGGAAATTTTGAGATGTTTAAAACAGCTTTCAAATTCATACTATATATTTTTTTGTAACGAATAGCACATATTTTACTCAGTAAGCATACAGATTCTATATGTAATTTACTTAGATTCTCGACTGAAAATTGAAAAAAAACACAGCCACTGGTTTATTCTTATATCCAGTCATCATGAATTCTTCCCTGTTGAGAAGTTCAAGCCTTGAAACTACAATCTAGAACCAAAATAGCATGTTTGGCTTTTCTTTCTGTATCTCCGTGACACGCCAAGATGGATTTTCCTGCGATGCGCATTTAGAAATTGCACAGTTTTTCTTTTTGAGCTATACAGTGCTGGCCAAAACTATAGATCCACTATAAAAAACTGCCGTAGTTCATCTGCTTCTCAACGAATTGATCTGAGATTTGGTACAGTTGTGTGTTCAACAGGCATTCATCAGTGACCGGAGTGGATTCCGCTTTCGGTAGATTATTCAGGAAAAAAATTAAAAATTTCGAAAAAAGCAGGCTCGAAAGTTGGCCAAAACTATAGATCCACCTAACATTTCTGCCTGCTAGCGTAATTCTTAGCTTCCAAAATCTTTTGTGCATAAACCTAGTCGAAAGTCAAAGCAGTGGGTTTAGTTCAGCTGCGTCATACCTTTATAAGAAACGCTTATCTGCTTTTTTCCACTCAAAAACTGCTCTCATGCGTATTTTGTTCCCGAGAATGTGTTTTTGTAGAGGATTCCGCACTTTTTTGACTGGTTTGAAAGTGATAGGGCTCCATCTATCTTATAGATGCTTAGCAGCGTGAGCAGTAGAAAAAAATTCGGTTTTTCGTATCCAAAGCGCACCTGACACGGACATAACCGTAGGCCTGCGCTCGAATTTTTGCCTTCAAAATTGGTATCCGCTATTTTTATAAGCTCAAAATAATGTAGAAGCATTATTTAGCATTATTTACCTAAAAAGAAGTTTGTAAACTATAGTTACGATTGCTTGCGAAGTCGCACTTTAATTCTTTTTCAAAGCACAAGTCTTGCGGTGTGTTCGGCAATCTCAAAGTACTTACCAACTGGTACCTTCTTTGAATTTTGCCACTTTTTAGCTGCTAACTATTGAATACACCCTGCAATATATGTTGCCTTGTGATTCACATGAGCATTATGGTCAGAAGCAGAAATAACTTCAAGGCTTGTTGCAAATCACTTTTTGCAGGATGAAGTTCTCAATTAGCCTGCATACTAGGATCTGCAGAAACCTGCAACCACTGCATACGGACTCTCATACATACCAACAATGTAACTACTCCAGTTCACGCTCATGACAACGTTGCAGAAAGAGCTTGAAGGCATAAATTTGAACGCAGGTTTGCGGTTAGGTCTATGTCAGGTGCGCTTTAGATACGAAAACCCGAATTTTTTTCTGCTGCCCACGCTACTAAGCATCTATAAGATAGATGGAGCCCTATCACTTTCAAACCAGTCAAAAAAGTGCGGAATCCTCTACAAAAACACATTCTCGGGAACAAAATACGCATGAAAGCAGTTTTTAAGAGGAAAAAAGCAGATAAGCGTTTCTTATAAAGGTATGACGCAGCTGAACTAAAGCCACTGCTTTGACTTTCGACTATGTATAGGCACAAAAGATTTTGGAAGCTAAGAATCACGTTAGCAGACAGAAATTTTAGGTGGATCTATAGTTTTGGCCAGCCTTCGAGCCTGCTTTTTTCGAAATTTTTGATTTTTTTCCTGAATAATCTGGCGAAAACGGAATCCGCTCCGGTCAATGATGAAAGCCTGTTGAACACACAACTGTACCAAATCTCAGATCAATTCGTTGAGAAGCAGGTGAACTACGACATTTTTTTTAGTGGATCTATAGTTTTGGCCAGCACTGTATAAGAACATATTCATAAAAATCCAACGGTTTTTTTCTCAAAAATCTCGGTGCAACGCTTATCAACCTAGTACAAGCAACTGACTCCCTGAGGCAAAAAATTAAGCAATTAAGACAAGTTGTAAATCAGCAAGAGTTCCAAAGTCATGCGGTTATCTTTTTACGGAAGACATTTTCTTACGCTATGAGAGGCAATGATGAGATTTTTGTTTACAAAGTACCGCACTTGCTTAAATGCTTTCTTAGTGGATCGTAATCCAAGCTCTTAAAATTCGTACTTTCAAACCGTGGAAATGTAAAGCAAGCAAGATCTCAAGTAAAAATTGCTTTATTTTGTGTTGTAATGTATTGTTGTATTCCCCTACCATATGCGCTTCATCCTGCAGATGCGGTGTATCAGCAACCAGTGAATAAATTCCTGGTGCAAGCGCTGCCTAGAATACAATCTATTCAGCTGCATCGTCTCAGGACCAGTAAATCTGATAACATACTTGGACAGAAGCTTTTGGTAGTAGTGATAGAGCAGTTACGAGCTGCTCTCTCATACTGAAACCGGAGCAGGACGAGAATATGATTCCTGACAAGAATCTGAACACGACTCCTATACCAATTAGTGCGCATCCAGTCAGCACAATAGTCCAGTTCATCTAAATTAGGCCAATTGTAGCAAGGCCATTAACCACGGGAAAGTAACGTACAGTAGAAAAATCAAGTTTCATCCCAATAAGAGACAACAAGAGAGGCATGAAAAACAACTTCCATAGGAGTGCAAAAGCTTTTTCTTCAAATCGAATCTGGAAAATTGACAATTGCTTGTGTGCAAATTTGTATCACTCATAGCCTACTTTATCATCATTGTCGATTTTCCATCGGATTCCAGCAACGAAAGAGGTCAGCACTGCGATTATCAGCCCTGCACTTTGAAAGCCGAGCACTTGTCCACCTAAAAGTCTTGTGAAAGTGTTATAAGATTTTTGATTTAAACAGATATCAATGTTAGGTCCCAAGAAGACGATAGCTAACAAGTCAAAAATTCTTTTATCTAGCTTATCGTTCAAGCCTTTGAACTTTTCGCCGCGGATTTTGACAAAAGTGTGAATTCACAAATGTAGCCACTTACTTGAATTGAGTGTTTACAATCGCAAAATTGCGTGCTTTACTATTTTAGCTTTGGAAAGGATATTTCAACCATATATATGCACGATATCTGCACTCATTGATAATTGTGTGATACACATATAGCTGTTCTATAGTCTTACCTCCTTTAAGTAAAATTATTAGGTAAAGTTTGAGTAAAATTCGAACACCAAAAAGTGTTCATCCATTACATCTCTCATTTCGAGACAGCTCCAGGCTCGACTTACAAGCGGAGAAAGCAATCCAATCAAAAGCTTTACATAGAAGGTAAGAGAAAGCTAAAAGGACCCAGCAGCTGACCCTACCCAACTTTGCGAACGTTAGAACAGTTAATGAGATGATGATCGAGGAAGCAGCTAAAGGTACGTTTGTAAGCAGATTTTGCTGCTTAACGTGCTGTTTTGAAGAGTATATCGTATATCTAAACATTTTACAAAATAGCAAGAGCATGGTAAACAAATTGTTATTTGCGGAAATTTATCCAGTCATATTTTGAAAGTCGAAAAAGGCTTTTCACTTTACGATACAATTAATGGTATAGAGATTTCTTCCTTCGTAAAAGCCAATTTTTGTGCAGGACTCACCAAGTACAGCAGCTGAACAAATGGAGGCAAGGAGCAGTGTTCGGCAGACTGATGCATTCTCCACATACGAGATGGGGAACCACCATAATAGCCAGCCTAAAAGATACAACTTCAATCACACAGAGCAAAAAAGAAAGCAAGAAAGTAGCACAGACTATGTTAGCTTGCATTTTTTGTTGTCTGATCGAACGTTAGTGAACCCTGCAGCTTTTCGGCTATCTTTATAGAGCAATTTCATAAAAGTTGCAGCTTCTCCTCGTTTTCGAGGATGCATCTTCTGCATTTCTAAAATCACAGAGGCTCCAATCACACCTAAGAGGTGCCGACAGCGCAATTACACACGGTATTTTACAAAATGTGCGCACTGTCTATTTGATAACCTTCTTTTCTCAAAGTCTTTTGCGAAACCTTGAGTGTTCTTTCGAGGTCAACTTACTTAGATTTAGTAAGAAATAACTAGGCACTCATTACCTACGGTTACCAGGGCACGGCACAGTTAGCGTACCAAGCGAGTGGATATCGTTTCTGGAAGAAAAAGGGAAGGGAATATCGTTTTTGCGGAATAGTATACCGCTATCTTTCGTATGGAGTATGCGTGCCGACGACACGCTGCCGCTACACTGGCGGCATGCTCGATAAGCAAAGGACTTGTTTACAGCGAAGTGCGAATGAAATGACATCAAAATTGGTGTGTAGATGGGCAAGGGGAGCTAGGACTATGTATGAAAGATTTTGAAAAATTATGTTATTTGAAGACGTGCTCAACTTTTTTTGAAGTTAAATGGCTTTTAAGCCACCCAAAAGCCACTTCAGGTGGCTTGAGAAAGAAGAAGTCAGAAATTTTCCCTCCCTCACATAATCTCTTTACTTCTTTGCATAAATTTCATCTACATCCCAAGCCCTACAGATTGTTTCCTAAACCACCTCAAACCCGCACCTCCCTTCTTGGTTACAACCCCTTAAATATTGAACGGCGACGGCAACGCTGCTCCAAGCGGGGGTAGGGCGTTAGGCGACAAACCCAATTTTTTGGACCCCAAAGAACTCCCCGTGCAAAACGTTGGCGTTTTTCCTTTGCTTCGCTTTGCCGTTCCTTTTCATGTGTTTTCTCTTCCAATATCTCATGGCGGATGTCGTATTTTCATTGTGAAGTCAAAGGGAACTTCGTGAAGTCAGGGGACTTCTTCTTTTGCGATTTTGAGAAGCCACCTCATGCGGAGCCCTGACAATTACAAAAAGAAATCTCAGCTTAATGACAAACACAATTTTGTTAGTAAAAGTCTTTCCAGCTAACTTGGAGATTTTCTGAAACAAGATTTGGCTACCTTGGTAGCCATCCCTATCAAAGGTTTCCACCATGATCCTATGGAAACCGAAAGCACCCGGAGCATTTTGTATCAAGAGTCAGGTTGGAATCAGCTTTATAGAGTATTTCAAATCAAGACAAAAGAGATGGCGATTTTTCAACAGTTTGCGCATTTGTGCACTTTTTATGCTTATACAGGCTCTTCTGAAATTTTGAACGAATGTTGGAGAAGTTCGCGCACCGTATTCGGTCTGCACTTACGCCTATGTATACCGTTCAATATGATCTCAAGGCAGAAAAACTGACGCAACAAACATACTAGAAAATGATGTGAAAATCTCGGCATTCTAAATGTTCAAATATGATATTGCTTTTTGAAGTTAAAAGAAATTTGAAAGGTGTCTTCACAATTTTGAATGGACTGTACATTTTTGAACGATAAACCGCCAACATAGTAGAAGTGAATAATGAATATATTATGACAAATCTTAGGTGAAGCTAGCATTGTAATAGTATAAATATTTACTGAAATGTAAGGTCAAACTATACAAACTAACCGGCACAAATCCCGATGAAAATACCAATTATGATTTCGGCGACGTTGGCAACGATCACTTGAGCGAGAGGCGCTAAACAATCACTTTTCTGCTCAGATTCCAATACGATTACGGTGTCACCAGTAGTGAGTGAAACGTTGGTATGAGTGAAAATGCATATTTCAATAATAGAGGCGAGCGGCGAGACAGAGCATGGAAAAGAATCACATGACTTTTAAAAGCTGCTAGTCGCTATTATTTATACTATACAACATCTCTCAAAATCCCCCCTCATAGCCCTGTTGCAACACTGTCGTGGTCTTAGCCCAAAAATTGCCGTATAATTGCTAAAACTGATGCAAGGCCGCATTTCTTTGAAATTGTCTTCCATTATTAACATGCTCTCTCTCTCTAACCTTCTATACGACTCCCAAATCTGTGTGGAATCGGCAAGAAGGTGTTTACAGTATTGGCAATCAAAATGATCGCTCACCCCCCCCCACTAACTTATAGCGTTTGACAAATTTGAAAAATTGGTAGAATCATCAGGCAATTTCTCACGCGATCGCCATATTCGTAATCGGCATGCTCACTTACTGCCCTGTGCCAACTTCCAGCCCCGTAGCTCAAGGTTCGCTGAAAAATTTATAAGCCTATTAGATTGTCCGGAAATTGATGCCGCTTTGAGGTATAAGCTCTTAGCCTTCACTATTGATGAATAAATGAAAAAGCCACAATTTTTGAAGGTTATCGTTCTCAAAAAAGGTGAGAAGGTCCAAAAAAGGACAATTTTGAACCCGGGTTTTTTTTGTTTCGCAGAACATCCCCAGAACGTCTCTTAGTAATGTAGTACTGGGTACAAGAACTAGCAGTTTCCTGCTAGATACTCTTTTCCAAAAGGAGTTGCAATTTACCAAAGCTGGCGTTACTTCAGAAATTTCTTTTGCTCTCTGATTCACGCTAGTTCCGCCTTATAAAGCTATTCAAGCACGTAAATGAGCATTAAAGTAATGCTTTTCTGATTATGGTGGTTTTTAGCTCATCTTGAAATATTATTCAACGGAACTACGTTAAGAAACGTTGTAAAACTAGCATTGACTTCCGAATAACCCAATGTAAGGAAAAGGAGATTGCACCCTCCCCGTCTGAGGTTCAAGAATGAATTTTGTACTCGGAAACAAACCTATCATCAGTACTTTTGCAGAGAGAGAGTGGAGCTTTAGATAGAATTTTGATTAATGGCTTGCAATTTATTGAGCCATCAATTTAAATATGAGATGTGTTACGGGTTGAACAGCTTCGATATTCTCTAGTTTGGGAAAATTCGCACGAAGGCATCATTTCATATATATTTTCTTTAATAAGTTGTTGTTTAGATAAAAGGGGATACGAAAAACCCGGAAGGTCAAAGAACGATTTTCGTTGCAACCAGCAGCTGCGGAAACACTTTCGTAGAAAACTATGTGGAGTTGTTAATGCTGGATGGCCTACCTGTTGAAAATATGATCGCTGATGCCACTGAAAACGCGGTGATACAAAAAACGTTGTCAAGAGCGGCTGAACCTAACGCAAGTGTTGGTATACCCTGCAATAATAGTAGTTACTAAGGATTATTTTTACCTATAATTGGGCTGGTGCAAAATTGAAGCACATCCTTATCCTGCTGCGGAAAAATATAAAAAATTTCGAAATATATCATCTGGTAGAGCAAAGCAAGTTCTACAAGGTAGTGTTCAAACAATAAAGGTTCAATCTATGTAAACTTTTCAAATAATCTAGAAAATTTCAAATCCCTAATTGTTTGACATCCCAAAGGTCCTGCGAAAGTCCATCTTGTTACGCATACACGTACATATCAGACATTCACATATACAAGTCCCGTCTTTTTTTATAGCTGAAAATGAAAAATAAAAATAGACCAAAAATGTCAAATTTCCTCGACTTTTTGAACTAATTTGATATTTCTCGGCAATTAGCGAACTGAAAATTGAGGATTCATTGTTATAATTCAAAATCCAAAGGTACGGGATAAATTGAGTCAGAAAACTTCAGCATCCTTTATTTCAACCATGCTAGTTTTTATTTTATCAAACAAAGAGAAGCAAATGTGACAAAGAATTTTCATAAGCAAATTGGAGGCTTTTGGAATTTTTTTGAACAGAGATCGATTTTTAGGCACTCGAAATTTTTTACTATCATTTTGTGATTATTTAATCACCCTCTTGTAAAGCTTGCTTTCAACTACTGAATGATACGTTTCGTACATATTGACACCTATCTTACAGCTTCAGAATAAGGAACATGCATTGATTTTGCATCATCCTAAGAATTTGCTGTTACCTTTCTTGTGCCCAAACCCTGGCTTTGCAAGTCAAGCATTATGGGCACTGTCACGGCTGGAGAAACAGCTGCCATAACAAATCTGAAAAAAAAATTCTGCGGAATCAAAAAAGCCCACTGATGAAGAGGTTTGCAACTCAGCATAAACCAATAGCGTTTTTGAGTGAGCCGCAGTCATCTTCTAATTGATCATCTGACTGTTTCATGTTATCCACTTTTTTGAAAACAAAAGGAACCTCATTGTGAGTGCGTTATCGTTCGTTCTTCCTCTGCTATGACTTATTCCCTATGACAACGCTTTCGCGCTGCACACCAATCAGTGGCCGGATGGTCTAGTGGTATGATTCTCGCTTCGGGTGCGAGAGGTCCCGGGTTCGACTCCCGGTTCGGCCCAACCTTTTGCCCGAGACCGCGCATATGTTTGGCTTTTGTGATCGTGTTTGCCACTCCCTTTTTGAAGTTCAAACTTACCCTGTGATGAAAGCCATTGGTACGGACCATTTGAATATAAAAATTGCTGCAAGAATGATCGCAGCGCTTTCAATGGCAGCTGTCATTAATCCAAGACCTAATGTCGCTCCCTGAGCAGATAAAAATTCGAAATTGTTTTCGAAATGCGATTAAACTCACCATAGCCTCTTTCAAGTAATCCCAGTTAAGACCAATGCCACATCGGATTAAAATTATAGTGAGTGCTAACGTTCGTATAACCCATTCCCAGCGTGGATGTATATAGAAAATCTCATTGAGCACAACAATATTTTTAACCAACAATCCGACGAGCAGACTTCCTGAAACAAAAATAGGTGCAGCAAAAAAATTTGAACTAGATTTACTTCCATTATAAACGTTAATTTGTATTTGGAAATGTCGCTTTTCCAAGTACCAAAAGAAAAGAAACACAGCGAGCTTTTGTAAAAAAAATTTGTTTATTTGCTATAACAAATTTCAGGATCGATTGAACAATAAGAAAAAGCACCATACGTAATCGTGCTTCAAAACAAAAGAACGCTGCTTTTTTCTAAAATATATCTTGTATATCAAAACCCTCAAAACGTGGTTTACATCATTTTAAAGATTTATTTTCGTCTTTTTCCAATCCACATCTACCGCTGCGCAATCAAAAGATAAAAGCTGTGCAACAATGAAACAAGTATACTTGCTTAGGTCTATAAGCTTTTCTGTTATTCCTTCTTACATCCTTACGTAAAAGAAGTTTTGGTACATAGCCTTTCATGTTGAAAAGTCAATATTGGACTAGAGGGGGGGGGGGATAGTGGCGGTATGAATATTTTTCTGAAAAGGAGGGCACAGAAAAATTCTTGTCGAACGAGGGAGTCAGGGTGTTAGCGACAAGCTTCGAAGAATTCCTTGGGATGTTTTCCAAGTGTTTTGCACATAACATTGGGATTTCACGAAATGGAAACGCAGCTTTTCTAAAAGTAAATTGATCTTAAAGGAATGTTTAAAAAATTGTCGACTAGTTACAAGCAATTGACAATTTATAACTTATGTAGTTTACTTTCAAGAAATTCGAGACCCATTCTCGGGACGTGCATTGAATCTTTTTTTTAAATTTGACTTGTTATGTCCTGCAATCAAGACAAGCATTCATTCTGCAAACAAAAGCATCTACAATTGTCCACCGAAGTTTTACCTACATTAGCTCGACGCAGATATGCTATGATCATGCCACATTTTTTTCAAAATATGTGAGCGTAACGAGTTCAAAAAAAGAGGGGCGGGGGAGGGGAGGAGGGAGAAGGAAGCCTGGAAAATGTGACACGCACTCATGCAACGCAAACTTATTGCTCATCAACGTGTAGATACGGATTTGCTCCGTAAGATTAGCTATAAAGCAAGTTGAAACGCGCAATCTTAACGATAAATAAGATTCCAGTCATTGGTTAATGGCTGGAACCAGCTCGTTTCATGATCATACGAAAACTTTGAAACTGGCTGTTGAATAGGCTGCAGATTATTGGAACTGCTTATGAACCGTCTTATGCGAGTACAGAATCATAAAATGTTCAAAACAACTAACAGAAATTCAAGAGCTCTGCTAAAATGTTTCGTAAGAACATTCTACTTAGAAACCTTGAATACTAATAACTTTTCTCAGAAAATACGAAAAATTTACTTTAGACCAGCGACTTCGCTTGGTAGGGCATGAGCACTTATTAAAAAATTGAAAACATTTTTATGAATCAGCAGAAAGGAAAACTAAGGTGTTTGTCAACATTTTCTCAATTTTGGAATTATCTATTAGGAAAACATTCAGAAAAACGCTGCAGTATTCACATTTCAAAAAGGGCTTGACAAGAAATTGTTCGAGGAAAACCGAATTTCTTTGAGACTGTTGCATTTAACACTTTGGAATATGTAATGAGGAACACCTCATCCATTTCTTCTAGGTAATATTGGTTGTTCCGAAAGTTCTGTCCGATTTGCAGATTTTCTGATATATGATGTTACAACATTTTTCAAAATTAACATTTTTGAACAAATTAAACTTTGCTGGATTAAGCGATTCATGGCTATTACATGTATGGTATGCCTTGCATAAAAAAGTGAGAAAAATAGAAAATTTGAACAAAAGCTCTCTCATTTTCAAACCTGGGCATTTTAATATGTGTCTGTAGTTGATGTTGTGCGGAAACCAGGTTTCTTGGTGAATGTTTATTCGACCAACGTTTCGACGTGCTCGTCTTTTTCAAGAGGTCTTAACTCCACCTCATACCAGTAAGTCCGTACGGGACAATAGCGGACGTCATGTAGTCAAATTTGAACGTTTTTGCAAGATTTCTTTCAAAACTGCCCTTTGTCGTACTAATGCTGCCATTTGAAGATAGGCAGACATTTTTCGCTGCCATCATCAAGAAGCCTACAATTCGGAGATTATTGTGGCTAAAAAGCATTCAAGTTGCTTTTGCTGCATGAAAATTTTTATAAGCCTTCAAATCAAAAAAAATCGTTACTTAAATCTTCCTCTGCGCGCAAGTGCCGACAATTCAATATTCAATTTTTTCTAGCCAAATGGGTGATGGTTCCTGATTGCTTTGGCTTTAACTTAACACAGGCAGTGCTAGATACATCACTTGTCGCCATACTAGATTGTTGTCGCTTGTTGAATGACTGAGTTTATCTTCAGTCTTCAAAGAAAAATTCGAAAAGTAAGAACTTCTCTATGTGAGAGGAAAAGTGGGCGTAAGTCAACCTATCACCAACCTTATTCATTATATACTATCACATAGGTAATTTTACAAACAGTCCGAAAATTCTTTTTTAAGAAACTATTTCTTGAACACTGCATTTTGCTTGGCTTCAGGACTTGAAATTTCAATACTGCCAAGTTGTTCCATCAAGATTTAGTAAGCATTGGAGAGAGGAAGAAAAGTACTTTTAGATAATATCTAATATCTAATATCCATGATGTTGCAACAGTGCAAAACGAAAATAGCTGCATCAAAATGAGGAACTAATTTGGACAGAACTTTCGGAACAGCCTAGTGATGCAATTTTATTTTATTTTATTTATTTTATTTAATAAGTTTTACTCAAACAAAATATATGGTCCAATACCCAGTGAAGTGCTCTTTTCACAGATACCAAATATTGGACAAAAATTTGTCTACAATATTTGTAAGAGCTAAAAAAGCGACCGAACTTATTTATTAGCCAACCTAATAATTTCCAGAGTCTTTCAAGGATTCATTGTTGAACCCAAGCACTTACCAAATAACGGAGGTAGCGATAAGTAGTAGAATATCTTTCCAACGCATAGTGAGAATACCAACAAGAAGAATAGGGAGAATGCCGAGGTTATTAAGCTGGTCGAGTCAACGATCGGTGAGAATGAGGTGTTTTTAAGCTGTAGAACATAGTCAGGAATGGTGAATGGATGCACTAAAAAACAGAAAATTAAACTGTATTGAGAATAACTAAGCAAACCTTACAGAAATCTCGTCCGAATGCTGCCAGAACCGTGAGATACGTGAAGAGGAGAATAAAAAAGCTCGTGATCAAAAAATTAATCTAAAAAACAAACAATTGCTATGAGCTGGATGCTGAATGTGCTGCACTTACGTGGTTGTTCCTTAGTACATCAATTAAAACTCGTACAAATTTGATATTCCTTAGCGATGAGTTCATGATGGTTGTACCCAACGCTTGTTTACCTGAATAGCTTCAGTAGTAAATTATGAATTGATAGTTGAACGCAGGACTGCTCAAACAAATAAAAAATAAGCGTAACATCAAATGAATTGAACTTTGGGAAATTGGGAGTTGAGAAACCGAATGAAAATGAAAATAAATTTTGCTTGTAGTTACGTAAACTGATAGAAGGGGAGGATTAAATGAGATTTAAGGGATGAAAGAATAAATAATTAGAATAATCATGCGGATCTCAACCTCTCAACTCATTCTTGGATTCTGATTTGGTGTATTAGCACCGAATGTATGATAGTGTAATATCTTGAGACTCAAAATTACTTCTTGGGCGTACCGGTGTAGCAGAGGAGGAGAAGGAGGTGGAGGGGGTAGGGGTAAGGGATAGGCCCTCCTAGAATATTCTGAAAGTTGCATGCACAAGTTACAAAATTGTGCATGTAACTTAATTTCACTAATCAACGATTTAGTTATTTTTCACGGTTTCAAAATAATTTTGCAAATTTTCTCGCTACAATACGTCCACCAAAAAGTCAGAAATGGAGAAAGAATTGTTTCTAAAAATTCCTTGGAGATGAGAGTACAAAAATAAATTATTGAATATTTCACGGAGCGATCGTCTGTTGAATGCATCATTACAGTGTTGAGGATGGAGAAGATGAAATAAGAATGGGACGAAAAAAATTTGAATATGAGTGACTGATTGAAGCAGTGACTCTTACACCAGGTTTGAGCGAAAGTACACAATCATTTTGAATAGAAATAGCATCAAGAGTGATACAAATAATTTTTTGATCTATTTGAAGGCCTTGAAATTTTATGGCATTTAGTGAAATGCTCATTCAAGAGTTTACGAGAGGAGTACATAGAATTCGATAAAGTCACACAAACACATTGGACGCTGCCCAGCGAGGAGGCAATGCCAACGGCTCCCAGCTTGTTGAATTTCTAGGCGAAGGGGCTGGCCAGTGAACTAGTTTTCGTTTTGATACCTACACACATCTACATATGCGGCGAAATGTGTGCGCGTATAGACTGAGTCACGCCATGCATTCATTAACTTCTCGACTGCCTGCATCTATGGGGGAAACATTGGCTTTTGGTAGGAAAATGTGAGAAAATAAGTGCTAAATGCAAGCTATAAATTCGCTTGACTCACGGGCATAGTGACATACCGTTCATGGGTAGGATATAGATATGTATATAAGTTTTGCACCGAAGTTACAGAATCGTGATATTTCGTTTTCGTCCAATGATTTCTTTGATTCGATATGCTAAAGGAAAAAATTTCTGGTGTCTAGATCAAAGATCATTCCTAGCAGATGGCGGTAATAGCTCGTAAAGGGCTTTCAAGTTATACTCTTCCGAAATTCAGTGTAATAATGCCATTCTGATTTTATTTTTCTGGGTTCAAAGAGATACCTTTCTATTCAGGAGATATCTAGTGTGATACTCTATTCACAGATATACCTTTCACCTATTCAATTCTGCTTTTGACTTTGTTTCTAATCGATTTTTCATTTATTGCTATGGAATACTATATTCAAATATGACAAAGATCGAAAAAAGTTTGACTAGTAAACTTGGGACGAATTTTTCAAATTCTTATAAATTCAATGGATCCAGCCGAAATAAACTGACTTTTCAGCAAATCAGTACTTCTATGTAAATGTAGGACTATATAACCACACATGTGGAGGAACCCAGCCGCTAAGATGGAGTAGTGCTAGAAAAGTTTTTTTGGTATGATTAAGATTGGTTGCCTGCAAACATCATATATATTAGATTTATGCAAATGTTTTTCATGTAAACACGCTCTGCTCTACACGCTCTTCTCAAATGATAGTCCAACACAAGAAAGAAGAATTTTCTGTAAAACTCGCAGAGAAACGATTCAACCTACTACAATAAAACTGATGTTCGAATCGAGTAACGCTTAACAGAATTGCTTGACCCGATCACCCGCTATGATGGGATTTTATGGATATTCGCGTGATCTTTATGGGAAGAGTACATCACTAGCACATCGCTTTTTGGAAGTAGGCTACCAGGCATCGACCTTTTTTCGAACAAGGCTAATGTCACCGGCATCGTGCTAGAAGAGTAATGACCGCTCCGAACGGTTGATTTCAAGGCACGAGGTAGTAATCAAAAGGCATATTGAGAACGGACTCGTTGTGTGAAAAGCAACAAAGAGAGTTCTTCTAAATTTGGACCTGAATTCCAAGCCGAGACTAACGTTACGATATGCACCTTGAGAAGGGATTCCGTGGGATTGAACAATAAAATTATAAAGGCTCAGTATGTTCCTGGAAAGAGGGTACTATAGATAATACACTCAATTAGTTTTGGTCGCTAAAATGCTAAATGTTCTGAAAATCATTTTCTTATAAGCTTTGCTAAGTATGATGTACTCATGTTTATCGGATGTCTTTGAGATGCTACAACTTTCAAAAAATTTGTTGCCTCGTCTCTGTAATGAACACAATAACGGATATGCTAAATAACATGTGTTGATATTAAAATGGCTCCTTGACCATTTCCTAAAGACATCGTGTCTTGACTTTTGAAGCACTGTGCTTTGTGTACACTTAACATTATTGAGCATTGTGCCTCGAGCCACGTAAGCCTTTATTAGGAGAGGGAAAGGTGCATAAATGTTCGAAAAGTTTGCGCTTACTCTCAAAGGCTTTCCAAATCGACTTTGGAAAGGGCCTGCAACCCATTGTGTCAAATTTTTTTCAATCTGAATACAGCCCCCTGAAGTTGGCACAGGTAGTCTGAATACCTTGTAAATGGAAAGCATTCAGCTAGCTGATATTGAGCACTGTACTTTGTAAGGCGCGAAGAAAGACTAGCAAGAGAGTTGTTTACAATGTTTTTAAGGGAAAACATCACATTTTGTATTTTTGCACCGCAATAATTAGTCCCCACCGACCACCGACTGGTCCGAATTGCATTAAAAACCACTCCCATTTTTGCAACAAGCAGATATATCATGAACTGCCTTCATCATGCTCTTGCTCCTCCTCCGAATCTACTGCGGAACATAGGTAATAGCAACGAGATTTCAAAACTCCGTCTAACAAGGAAACGATACTCGGTGTCCGTGGCTTTTTGAGATGAGTTGTATACCATTACACTCGTCTTGGAACGCTGATTCCGAATCTGGCTTCCGTTTCTGCTAATCGCTTCAAAGATGTTGTAAAGGATTGTGCGGGCTTTGGCTATCCATTGAAATACGTTCAAAGCGGAAAGAGTGACGGTGCCGTGTGGTCTAGTGGTTAGCGCGATAGGCTCATGAGCATAGTTGCGATAGGGGGAGTGATGGATCTTACCCCCTTCACTTTGAGGCCAAACTCCCGATGACCCCCTTCACCTGGGCTGAGATTGGTATTGTACTCTGAGAATATGATAAAAATCGTTATTAAAAGGTTTTACAGGCTAAGTACCTCAAACAACAAGTACTCTCATAAATTTACAAAAGAAACGGTACTTATGTTTATTCATATTATTTATTTATCCTCGTAGCATTCATTTGGAGAGCAGAAAGCGAGGACAAAAAAGCAGTTGGTTTTCGGAGTACATAAAATCCCTCATATCTCGCGACACAGAAGACCTAGAAAAAAGGCGACGGTCTATGTCGATTCTCCATGATCTCAGCTTTCGAATAGTATACAGCATATTAGGGCTTCTTTGCTTCCCGGCTCTAAAAATCATTTGCTCCGGTAACCGATAAAAGCCAATACATTGGTGGAGCTGGGTGGAGCTTCGCTAATAGTAAATATCTCCACCCCATTTTTGAAAACTGGTTAGTTTTTTCGCCAAGCAACCTATATACCATTCGAAAGCTCAGGAAAAGGGGATTCGACCTAGACCGTCGACTTCTTTCTAGCCCCCCTCTACCGAGAGATACACCGCATTTTATCTGAAAACATGGTCACTTTCAACAGCAGATTTCTGCCAAATGAAGACCTACTCACTGCTGATTATCTATCTGTGAAAGAGCAAGTCTTCATTAACAAACGTAGACCGTCGACTTTCTCGTAGAATTCATTTGGAGAGCAGAAAGTGAGGACAAAAAATCAATTAATTTTTAAAGCACATAAAATCCCTCATATCTCGCGATACAGAGGACCTAGAAAAAAGGCGACGGTCTACGTCGATTCTCCATTATCTCAGCTTTCGAATAGTATACAGCATATTAGGGCTTCTTTGCTTCCCGGCTCTAAAAATCATTTGCTCCGACCGATAAAAGCCAATACATTGGTGGAGCTGGGTGGAGCTTCGCTAATAGTAAATATCTCCACCCCATTTTTGAAAACTGGTTAGTTTTTTCGCCAAGCAACCTATATACCATTCGAAAGCTCAGGAAAAGGGGATTCGACCTAGACCGTCGACTTCTTTCTAGCCCCCCTCTACCGAGAGATACACCGCATTTTATCTGAAAACATGGTCACTTTCAACAGCAGATTTCTGCCAAATGAAGACCTACTCACTGCTGATTATCTATCTGTGAAAGAGCAAGTCTTCATTAACAAACGTAGACCGTCGACTTTCTCGTAGAATTTATTTGGAGAGCAGAAAGTGAGGACAAAAAATCAATTAATTTTTAAAGCACATAAAATATCTCGCGATACAGAGGACCTAGAAAAAAGGCGACGGTCTACGTCGATTCTCCATTATCTCAGCTTTCGAATAGTATACAGCATATTAGGGCTTCTTTGCTTCCCGGCTCTAAAAATCATTTGCTCCGGTAACCGATAAAAGCCAACACATTGAAAGAGCGAGGTGGAGCAAGCTAATAGTAAAAAATGTGCTGTGGATTGACATCGTTATCATCACTAACGGGAACGCGAGCGAATGCGTCTACTTAAGCGTGCTTGTCGCTGTTAAATGTTTATATTTTTTTAGTAAAAAATGCGCTTTTGATTGACAGTTGTGCCATCATTATCAGCACATACTCAAAAAAACTATGGGAGATTGTGGAATTTCCACACCTTCACAC